TAACTGAGTTTTTTTTAATGGAAACTGTATTCATTAATTAAATCAAAGCATTGGAGTTTCCTCCCATATCCTCTCTAAGAAGAGGTACAAGAAAATGAGGTGGGTTGTCAATCCACACCTCCTCTCCCTCCCAGTTACAATCCACATTGGCCTTGAAATGGGCCGGTTTATTCTTTTGTCGGCCCACAAAGTTCCATTGGACATGACTCAGTGACTGGGTTTTGGCCCGGATCTCCGCACAGAGCAACCCGATCTCGGTCTCTCTGTCTTCTTCTCTTCTTAGCTGGTAAACGACCCCCTGTCAATTCGATTCCATTTCCATTTCCAGCAGCTTAAACCTCCGTGCCAAATCAAGGCCAAAGTCGATGGCCATGGCTTCCGCTTCCTCGGGGTTCCATTGAATTCGCTAATTCAATGGAACCCCGAGGAAGCGGAAGCCATGGCCATCGACTTTGGCCTACGTATAATTGAGTTAATGATGAGCCAACACATTTTTGGGTCTACAAACAAAATTCTAGCTCACAATAGCTCCTTGTTTTAGCAGCATTATCATATAGGCATGTGCCAATTCATGTCGGTTTAATAAAATATGTAGAAATATAAAAGTCCATTAGCAATATATGAAATTAATCATACATAAAACATAAAAAATTTACTTAAAATTCATATTGATATTTAAATAAAATACGAAATTCCTAATAAAATTACAAATACTCATATTTAAATACAATATTTAACATTTTATACTTGAATCTAATAAATAACATCAACATTTAACTTTTAAAATCATAAAATAAATTATAAATTATTTTTTTATTAATTAAATTAACAAAAACAACATCATTTTACTTAGAAATCGTAAATCAATCATGCCGGTCATATCGATAGTGTTCACACCAATTTCATAACCGATGACCGATATCGCGTGTACCAAGTTCAACCGATGACATATCGGGCGGTGTGACAACCATAGAAATTAAATCACCATTCAAGTTTTTCACCAGATTTCTAAAGCTTTAACTTCGTTTCCAATATTCTCACCGGATTTTCCTTCTTTTAATTAGAGTTCGAACTTCGAAGTAATCGTATACCCAATTTCGGGCACTTTGAAAGGCACCGATCCCTTTAATATTAATAAAAAGTTATAACTTCAGCTTCCTACAACTTTTCTCCATACGAAAAAGCAAATTGCCAACAAAAAGTTAATCATCCATTTTAAGTTGTATAATGATATATACTATTTTTATAATTGTACATAACTAAATTGAATTTCTAAGAAAAGAAAATTTAATTAATTCATTATATATTCAAAATTATCAATAAAATTTACTATTCTAGGTTTATTTGTTTAAGAAATTAAGTAATCTTGTTTGAAATTAAAAGAAAAGAAATTTAAATAAATAAATGGAATATCTTCAAAATTTAAAATTATTTATTCATGATATATCCTACATCATTCAACAAATACCAAATATATGTTGAAGGACTTAGATGTGGGATGAAGTGGGCTTCATGGCGCACCTTGTGCAGGCCCAAGCTGGAAGGTGTGTTGGCTTTTGAGATTTTAATTGCAATGACATTGTTTTATTGACTAAACATGCATGGCGAGTCATTTAGGAGTCGGATGGGCTTCATCAAAATAAGAGAACATTTAGACATCTTAAAAATTCCACCTTCAGCTCCATATACTCAAGAGACTCGAGAGTGTCTAAGGAAATAAGATTTCATTTAATATCTGGAACATATCGAACATAAGAAAGTGTCATGAAAATCCCATCAGAAAGAGATAATTAAATAGTACTAATACCAAGAACTTTGAGAGGATCATAGAATTAATGGGTTAAAGGGGTTTTAAACTAGTTCTTATTGCGTAAAATATTAAGAGCGCATGCAGAATCAAGGACTCAAACATCCTAAATACTCTTGTGATAAGATGAAATTGCTGCTAAGTCTTCACCATTGCAATCTTCTTTAGCTATAATAGCTTCTCCGGCTACGAAAGCCTTTTGCGATTACCTTTTATTTTCTTCTTTGACCTTTAATTTTAAGGGCTAAATCCACTAGGAAGCCCAAACTATTCAAAAAGTGTCATTTGTGGGCTAAACTATTCAATATGACAAATCTGACCCAAATTATATGCATTTTGTGACATTTGTGGCCTAAACTATTCAATATGACAAATCTGGCCCAAACCAGATAGAAGCTGACTACATTTTCTATGAACTACTAACGGTTCACGTCGGTCAACATTAACAAAAAAAATATTTTGAGCCAGATTTGTCATATTGAATAGTTTAGGCCACAAATGACACTTTTTGAATAGTTTGGGCTTCCTAGTGGAATTATCCCTAATTTTAAACAATCAAAAATTTCATGTCCATTTTTGTGACAAAGGCAGTACTTTCCATCTTAGAATTTTTTGTCATGTGACTTGGATCGAACTTTACCTTTATCTTTGTTGGATTCCCTTTTTACTTGGATATTCCTCTCAAAAATAAACTTTCACCTTTGTCATTATAACTGAACTCAAAATCAAAATTTTATGTGGATAATAAGTAAGATTATACATCCTCATAAGACAAAGTATCTGGATTCATAGATCATGATTTCTTTGAGGTGTTTAAAGGACCATGGAAACCCGCATATTAACAAAACATCCTTATCCTCATCTTCAATTTTCACATCAATATTTTACAAGTCCATAACAATGGAATTAAGGTACAAAGATGGGTTTGAATTGGAGTACCTCCAGCCATGCATAATAATATTGTACAAATTCTCTTTTTGATTAAGCTTGTTAGTGAGACTTTCTCATCAAGTAAAGTGACTAATATTTTCCATAGTCCAATTAAAGTAGTCTCACTCACCACTTCATGCAAAAGCGATTATGACAGGCATAATTGAATAGCGGTAAGAGACTTTTCATCGAGCTCTTCCCATTGCATAAGTGAAAGTCACTAGTTTGTCTTTGAGATCCAGTAAAGCCTTTCGAATATCGTTAAGCGTCAAAATCAGCTTCAATTGAATATTTCATATCGATAATGATATCTTGCATTCTATCAAACTTCTCAATGTTAAATTTTGCAGTCATCTTGTTAAATATTTCAATTGGTTGTCAAAGCTCTGACATCACTTGTTTTCATTTTAAGAATTTTAAATGTGGATAAAAGAGTACTAGCGAAAGCAAACTCAATATTAAAATCAAATAAAAAAGAGATAAGAGAAAAACCAAAGACAATACACAAAATTTGTTAGAGTAGTCAAAGAGTAAATGAAATACCACATTGGTGGGAGAAAGAAAGTGCAAGTTGTTTTTAAGTTTGCTTTCCACTTTAGTTATTGGATAAAGTGGTTAGTGGGCTTTTGGAAAAAGTGTGGGCTATTTAATTGGACATATTAAATCGCACTACGCACTTAGCACGTTTGCGCGACGCGTTCGGATTTGAATTTTTGGCTAATTAATTACCGGAATTATTTTAATTAATTAATCCGGATAATTATTTGATTTTGAGTTTTGTGAAACGACGCAACCCTTCGGAAGGGAACTGCCGTTTTCACTATAAAAGTCTTCTGCAGCCGAATTTCTGTTCCAACGTTCTTCTTCTTCTCCTCGTTTTCCTTCTTCAAAAACACAAACACAGAAGTCAAGAAAGGTGCTGCTTTCTGACTTTGATTGGAGGGACTCCTGGGGGTGGTTTGTCTAAATCCTACCAGCAACAAAGTAGTGGGGGCAAATAAACACTCTAAGGAGAATGATCTAATCACGCCTTCAATCGTTCTCTTCCATACGGTTTCCCTGACAAAATTTACCTGGAAAATCTACCGTTCTTGTTTCTCCTTTCATTTTTATGTGTTTTTTGTTTTAATTATGTAGTGCTAATTACATTAAGTATATTATGTGTTTGTTGGGATATTTGTAAAAGTTCAACACCATATTTTGTATTTTTATTAATTTTCTTTAATTTTCTCATCAAAAAATTTATGTCCGAAATTAAAAAAAAATACATTGACAGATTTGTTTAAAAATAATAATGATGAAGTATGAACAAACTAAATTGAAAAGGATTAATTTGAATGTAGTTCTGTATATATTATATCATACAAATCAAAAGAAAAATGTGAGGGTATTAGATTTGAGAGTTGTATGGTTGGAGTAAAAAGGTGAGATGAGGATCAAAAAGTGGGTATCTAAGTAGGGAAGTTAAGTTTGAGAGCCTATATACTTTTTTTTATTTTTTTATTGGAGAGCCATATATACTTGAAGTTGGTCTATACTAGAGTAATCCATCCAAATTAAATTTCACGTAATTAATCTATATAGTAACTCACATAACTCCAAATCTTGCACTTAATTTGATGTATTTGATATGAATTTTTACTCGATGCGATCTTTGGTTCAAATTCTTCTACCATCATCACAGAGAATGCTATTTGTAACTAATGTGAAACCAGAAAATATAATATACACGTGAATTCATCTATCACCATAATTGAGCCAAGTTGAGCAATCTCGACCTTGGTCACTTTCACTTACCATTACTTGCTGTATTCTTGCGATAAAGCCAACAAGATGCATGCAACGAAGTCATGGAGCCGGCTGTCCAAAGAAGTCAATGCAAGAAGCTAGAGAAACCAAAACATGAAAGAAAAAGAAGCTAAGTGGCAATCTTTCTGAGCTCCGGTTTGCTAAACTTGGCTCCATGTGTTTGTTCGACCTGTAAATTATAGCAGCATTACAAGACTGTTAGGCCTTTTCCCATACAACATAATATATTGTACGAATAAGTTAGTTCCTAGACAAAGGCATCAGAGTTTTTTTTAACACATAATCGATAGAATTGTTCAACTGGAAGATAACAGAACATCTCCAAACATGATACAATTGGCATCTTGGTAGCTAGTTAATTCGTAGATCTTAATCCTTCCATAAAGACGGCTGTCACGCGTGGTTGTAATTCCACTCAACTATATAAACAGCAGCACAAGTAATTAACCCTTTCATTGCAACCACTGAAACCGTATAGGAAGATACATACTTCAGCTTCTGCCTTTGATCATACACAGAGATATGGCGGTTCAGAAAAGGGTTGTGTCGATTTTCTTCATTCAGCTAGTTCTTCTCGCTGTTTCAGGCCTGAACCGGGTCGATGGAGCCGGTTTGCGAACCGGTTACTACGATGAGAGCTGCCCTGATGCAGAGACCATTGCTCTTAAGACTATTCGCAAGGCCATCTCCAAGGATGTGACCCTTGCAGCCGCATTGCTCAGGCTCCATTTCCATGACTGCTTCGTTCGAGTAAGTTGCTACAACTTACATGCTCTTATGTGGGTTTTTCACATAATCACAACAGAAGACGTTATTGACATATGCAAATGACGTTAATTACAATGTGCAATTTTTGAAGGGGTGTGAGGCTTCAGTGCTTTTGAATGCAACAAAGGAAGGTGACGCCGAGAAAGATGGATTTCTGAACTTGAGCTTGAGAGGTTTCGACGTGATCGATGATGTGAAGTCTGCGATTGAGAAGAGTTGTCCTGGTGTGGTTTCTTGTGCCGATATATTGGCACTGGCTGCTCGTGATGCGGTTCAATTGGTATTGTTTCAGGCTCATCTCTCGAATTATTGTACTTTTTACGTATGTTTATAATATTTTTTGTTTTATGTATGTTCTCTATTTTTTTTTCTCTCTCTATTTTCAGACCGGTGGATTATTTTGGAAAGTTGAAACCGGACGTAGAGATGGAAGAATCTCACTCAGCAAGGAAATAGACGTAAATTTGCCATTCTCGAATTTCAACATAACTCAACTGAAGCAAAACTTCGCATCGAAGGGTCTAACTAAGAAAGACTTGGTTGTTTTGTCAGGTAAAAAGAGTTTTGATAATTTACAGTTGTTACAAGAATTAAAATATGTGAAAAGGCATCAAATTCTCAACATGCTTAACCCTCTGAAATCATTACTAAAATCCTATTACAATTGAAAATTACTAGGGTTTAAGTTCAGAGGCTCGCTCAATTTTTAAACTAAACAATACGTGTCCCACTAGTGCGTCTAATGAGGATAGTTTTCGACAAAATAATAAAATCGATTGATTTGAAGTACTCGATCGTATGATCTCAAATGTCACTTGCACTGTCTAACTCTCATTACATTTTTATGAAGCACATGTAGATGCCACCACGTCAATAAATAACCAAACAATTACAGAAGTAGATCTTAATCCCATTTACTCACAAACTATTTTAGGAGCTCACACCATTGGTTCTGCAAGTTGTTTCACGATCAATACTAGACTATACAACTTCACGGGGAGAAGCGATACCGATCCGGCCCTGGATCCAACCTTTGCCTCCGAACTGAAGAAGAAATGCAAGCCTGGTGGCATCCTCCCAGTTTTCGAGCTGGACCAAGGAAGTTCCACGATTTCTGATGCACATTTCTACAAAGCGGTGAGGCAGAACAGAGGTCTCCTTATCTCTGATGCAGCACTTCTTGATGATCATGTAACTCGAGCTTATGTCAAACGCCAGTCCACCTCTGCTACTGCTGGGGCAAATTTTGGTAGGGATTTTGGTAAATCAATGGAGAAGATGGGTAGGATCGGTGTCCTCACAGGAAACAAAGGGGAGATTAGGCAACGTTGTGCCTTGGTGAACTGATTATCTAATTTGTTTATGGATCTTTTTCGAGGAAGGTTATTTGGTTTATTGCTCACGTGTCGTTATATAAAGTGTTTGCTACCAATAGTTTAATTGATATGTTTCAAGTTATAATTCATTCTCATCATGTAATTGATTATCTACTTATGAAGTTATATGTTCAAGATAAATTCTTTTGGTACTTTTTTTGTTTTCAATTGAAAAGAGTTGAAGTGGACTTTAAAAGCCATAAACTTCTTCCTTACATTTGAATCAATTGACTTAGTGATAAAGAAATCTTCGTGAAAGTTGAATAATAAATCAAATTGGTAGGATCATGATAGTAAACTATAAATGCTTAGGGTTCAAAGCATACTCATAAGTTATAAATTTTCGTGACTCAATTAGAAGCGACTTTTTAATGCATTGTTCAGTTTCTAGATTTACAAAAGGCTAAAGAACAATTTCCTATCTAGACATATGTGGATCAATGGCGAGGATGCAAATATCATGTTTTTCCATAGCATGGTAAATAGCAGGAATTCAAGAAGCATTATAATCCAATTGATTGACGAACAGGGAATAAAAAATTCGAGGTTAAAAAAGCAGCAGTTAAGCAACTCAGAATCTTCTAATACATTACATCAATGAATATGTCTCAACTAATGTATGGAATGAAAAGAGAGAAAGCACCTGGATCATATTCATATGGATCTTCTAGGACAATTGGAAGCTTCTTCATCTATCAGGTTTAAGATAAACTTTGGGGACAAAGTTCTTTTAATGGGGGAGAATTGATGCATTTACGCATCTAGTGGCCGACATCATTATTCGCTTATTATTATTTAGATGCTTCATATTAATTATTCGTGTATTATATTTATTACTGTTAGTTTGGGCGATTCGTATTAATTCTTGTTTAGGACTTTTATTAATAGATGTGTCTTGCTTAGGAAGTAATTGATCACTTATTGGTTTAGGATTTATACATGAATGATAAGTCAAGTAATCAATAGTACTTTAGAATACAACAAAACATATGTTTAGTGTCAGTTAAAATATATGATTTGTGTTGGTTCAATTAACCGTCATGAATGTCGTCGACACTAAATGGATTTCTAGCCAAGAATGCTTCCTCGCGCCAATTCATATCTTTTTAGGTTGCATTTGACGTATAAGTGAATTGGGTGGTTCCCCCAATGTTGTTGAGCTAGAAACACCGAAGGTAAGTTCTGATGGTAGACCTAGACTTTTTTTTCACATTACCTTACTAGTGGGGGTTCTTATCCACCACTTGTTGTGTTTGGTCCAAACCTTATGTGGTTATGCTTGTAAATACGTGGGAACGGAGACAAGGATTTTAGTGTTGTACTCTTCTCATGTGAGCCTTTTAATTGCTTTTACCACCTTGAAGCAGCTAGATAAAGAGCAAATGATGGAGAGAAACATTGAGGCAGGGATACAAGGTAATTTGGTTTTTGTATATTGATCGGTGCTTGTTAAATCCATAATTTTTGTTCCGTGTTTTACTTCTAATCGATCTCTTGTTGGACATTTCCATATTTCATTTTTGTGTGTGGCAAGTGTCAAGGACACCCTTTCCATATTTTTTTACTAGGATAGAAAATCGTGCCCTACTGCATCATTTGACCAATTAGAAGCCTCCAAATGCATGGCCAGCGAATCCCTTCGCCGACGCCTTTTTCTTTTGCAAATATGGCTCCGTAGGCACCTTTTTTAACTAAGTCTTGGTCTTTGAATTCTTTCTTTAGCAACTTGGGCTTGAAGTCCCCTATGGCTTCCAAGTGGCTCACTAGGCTGTACGACCCTGAAAATGCACAAAAAAACTACCCAGAAGCACATAAAATGTATAAGAATAATCCAAGGGATGCTAAGACACACTTGAAGTAATCACAACATTTATCCAATGCATTGTGACGATATTGATGGTAATTGTACGCACTTTTGGTCACAACATGGGGTTTAGTATAGTCTGTATAGACACTTTCACATGTCATCAGTCCTCCACTGCTAGCTACTGCAGGAACTGGAGACAGCAGTTGCAGAATGTGCTATAGAATCGTCGATGTCCTCCAATAAGCTAGTCTTGCCACCACGAGTCAGCTGCAGAACGCCTCTCCTCCTGCAAGACTCGTCGCTCCAAGTCTCCCTTGGGCCTAAAGTTTCAGAATCGTCACTGTCATCAAACAAGCCAGTTACACCGCCGCTGGTCAGCTACAGAACGCCTCTCCATGATGTCTCTTATGCTGCAAGGTTCGCCTCTCCAAGCATCCCCTGGGCCTGTAGTTTCAAAATGTGAGAGTTAGCATCCTCGACTTACCCGTTCTGTTGTCGAAATAAATACATTTTCCCATATGTTTATTGGTCAATCATCTCCAATCGGTTCTTGTGGATTTTGATCAAGTTGCCACTATGATAGCTTTTGTTCATGTGGTTAATTTCAGTAATTTGCATATTTAAAGTAGCTATGCATCTCTAATGGCAGCTTTTGTTCTTATGGTTGGGACAAAAAAGACTTTTTTTTCCTGCTAATCGACCTTGTAGCATATGTATAATTTTGGTCTATTTTATTTTGTCCTTTTTGGTATCAAATTTTTAGGTTATACTAGTAATGGATTTTTCAGGTTATATATTATGTCTGGTTGAAACTGAATTACCTTCTTTTGATGCATTTTGTTAAAATTTTGATGTCGCGTTTCTTGAAATGGAATGAATTGTTTTTCTTTATTGAACTCTTGCACTTTGCAAAACAATAAAATGTTTTTGGAATGGGCATTAGCAAACCGTTCATCGTTTAAGGAGCTTAGCCGACCATGTGGAGGGTGGCCGAGACATTTCCCATATTTCTTTATGAGGATAGAAGACAGTGCCCTACGGCATCATTCGGCCAATTAGAAGCAGGATAGATCCAGGCTAGGACACCCTTCCCATATTTCTATCCTCGACGATGAACACCCAGGACACCCTCCCCATGGTTGGCTAATCTCCTTAGTTTCATAGGTATGCAAACTTGATGTTTGGTTTAACACGATTGTCCTTATTCTTATGCATTGATATTAGATTTCCTCTATTTCGTTATTTGTTGATTCGAATGAATGCCCAGTCGAGCTTGCACATCTTTGAGGTGCAAGACATAAATCCTAGTCATTTAGGATGAGACTAAAAATAGCAGTCCTACTTTATCAAACATCATTCGATCAAATGGCGTGTCGACTCAATGAAGAAATTCTAAGAGACCTCGTCGCCCATTAGTTCGGGTAAATGTTTTGACACAAGGTGTGATCTAACGAGATATGAAATTAGGCAGCTCGTATCTACCAAATATCGAGTTTGCGAGTCAAGGTTACGTAATGACGCACTTATGCTAGTTTGCCTCATTGGGTATATTGATATGTTTACTCGCCTACTTCAGGATGGCGTACATCGTTGTTTAAGAACAATACACACACCAAGTTGTATGACGTGACACATACAATTCGGGAAGAACGTGCCTTCGGGTGTGCGATAAGGGAGTTCTCTTAGGAACGACAATACCTAAACCGGATCGTGACAATAGCATGGTTAGAAGACCTAGGGGGATTGATGCCTATGAAACTCCTACCTTCCCTACTCTCTTACATCTCTAGTAGCATAGATCTACTTTTTTGCACCTCTTGTTCATTTTGAACGCCTAAATTATGCTAAAACTGGAGGAACCTCAACCTCCTGAATAGACCTCCTCTTCAATAGAACCGTACCTCGCTTCCGAAGTAAGGGTTCTGTGACAGGCCTAAGGTAATACGATCTTGGACTTAGAGCCAGATAAATTTTGTCTAACTACACAACATATCAAATTTTGTCGGGGACATCTTGCAAACTTCGGCAAAGGAAACGAGGCACTTGTTATGTTTCTGGTTCCCCACTGCTCATGCACTCAGAATCAAATTGGTGCTAGAAGCACTGAATTCCCTTTTTATTTTGGCGCCAGTGGCGCTAATTTCAGGAAAAGGTGACTTACGACCAGTCTTCACACCTTCCCCTACCTCGCAACCACTTGCTACACCTCAATGGGAATTACAGTGTCAGGCACCTAAGAGCCTAGAGCCATGAATATTGGGCAACATTCCAATCTGACATGCCCACGACACGTCTCAATGAATGGGAAATAGCCAAACTTAGCAATGACTACGAGATAAAGGCTATAGTCATCTACAAATTTCAATACATGAAACCTTTCTTTGGGTTTACCCATGAGGATCCATTCAACTACCTACAAAAGATCTAAGAACTATTTAGATCAAAATTGGAATTCGAAGAAGCATCTGAAAATGCAATCTTAGGGCTTTTCCCAATACTTTAAAAGGTGGTGCCAAAAGATGGTTCAATAAGCTGCCATACGAATGTACCCTCACATGGGAAGAGCTAGTCCGAAAGTCTTTTGCGACATATGTTGCACCACAAACCGATTATCTGCTAGCTAAACTAATCTTGCAGTTCAAGAAAGGGGAATCGGAACCTCTCTATGAGTCTTGGGAGCGATATCTGGGGTACATCAATGACACCCCAACTGTCAGAACAGAAGCGTGCAATCAATAATCCAAACCAACACGAACGAACACAAATTTAACGTGGTTCACTAACACAATGTGTGCTAGCTAATCCACGGGCAGGGGGGACAAATTTCACTAATTTGAGGAGAGTACAGGTTACAAACCAAATTCCGAACGGACAAACCAAATAAACTAACCTGACTGACCTTACTACAGACTAGGGTGATGAAGAGTATTTATAGGACTCTTCTCATAATCCCAAACATACAAGAAAAAGGTCAAACCCAAACCCAATCCCAGACCCAAACAGAATAGGCCTAAAACACAAAACAAAACCAATCAAATTCAAGTCATATTCTAACACCAACCATAAATTTGAACCTCTTCAACTCGCGCATATGTTTGCCGATAGATTGAATCATGAGACAAAGCAATTCCTGCACTTTATCTCTTGAGGGGGGGGGGGGGGGATATTTGGGAACCTCCCAAAAACCAGACAAGGGAATTTGCATCCGCCGCTGAGCTATCCCTGTGGATTAGTGCTTTTGCTTCTCCAGGAAAAAGCTATCCATCCGATGTGTAGTCCAACTGGTGGGAAAACAGCGATCCTGGTAACAGAATTGTCGACTATCCGCAACGTATAGATACTCCAAAACCCTCATATCGATTGAAACAAAAACTCTAGTAACAGAGTAAATCATCGAGGAAACGAAACACAACCTCGCACTTATTGAGACTCAATTGTTTGAGATGGAAGGCGAATTCATAAAATCTGGTAGCACCACAGACCCCATGCTTAAAGAGAAATTTCTCGACAGACGATCAAACAAGGCCTGGATCGAACACCATCCCATAAGAGAAGAGGTAAAGACCATGAGCTAGAACAAATCAAGTTATGATACCTCGCCAATAATCCATCGATCCGTTACTAGGGATGAAAAACAATCCCTGTACACGAGGATTAGCGCAAAATGAAAAGCCTCAAAGGCAGAACCCGCAGGTAGGCTTTATTCATGCATAGTTTGTTTTCCCTGTTTGTGTCTTACTTCCGAATCTTATTGTGGGGCAATCAAAACGTGCTAGGAATTTTTGGCCCAAACCACTTTCAACAAAACTGGCTCCCAATTTGGCAGCCTGGGGTGCCAATTTGTATGGGCTCGAGAAAGCACCCATTGACTAGATTAGGAATTCCTGAACGCGTTCTTAAATTCGTACATAATTCCTTTATCCATACAGAATCGAAGGGGAAGACTTGTTCCCTTAGAAAAGGACGAGGCATTCAAATTCCTTAATCCTTACGGAAAACGGCTCCCACCCCTATAATATGGGCTTTCGTCCGTCCCCATTACATACTTCATCGAATTGGATGTCTAAGGAGGAGCTTAAAGAAGTCATGGAAAAACCAGGAAATCCAACTCATTGTGGAAAAATCAGCGGCCCGAGCAGTGGAAATCTGAAAATATTAGGCACCGATAGTGCCATTTTTTTAAAAAAAGGAAAGAACGAGGCAAAATCATAATTTTTGCATCCCTTCCATGAAATCCTTGCCAACTTAGGTAGTGAGGAGGATGCTCTGCCTATACTAGCAGTAATCTCCAGAATGTCGAACCTTGTTTACGCATTAAGGAGTCTAATTAAAGAACAACTCCCTAATTCGGTGATATAAGTGCTTAACTCCATAGATGTACCACCGGGTTTACTCATACATTCAGCCTTAGAAGAATATGATCCAGTGAGATTAAGCATTTTGTGCAACATAAATGGGCACTACATACCCTATATGCTTATGGACACCAGATCTAGCGCTAATTTTCTGCCCGTTGCTACATATTACGCGATAGGGGGAGGCGAGTTAGAAAGGGCACTTCTCGACCTTCTATTACCATATGGGTCCATCCGTGTGGAAAATGAGGTGTTGCGACACATCAAAGTCATCATTGAACATTTGATATTCTAGTGAAACTTTGTGGTAGTCGAAATGCAGAGCCACCAACTTAACAAAGCACCCTTAGGTCGTACCTTTCTCGAAGCAGCAAGAGCCATCATCAACATGGATGAGGGAAGGATCACCTTAAGGGTAGAAGAAATAGAGCATCACATTTGGCTCCCTTGAGTTCTGAATAATAACTAGATGTTCTTTGGCGAAGATTCAGAGCTCGAAGAGGACGAAGACACCACCGTGGGTGATGAAGACATTGTACCCATCCATTCATCAGCCCTATATCACGATCCTGATATGGGTATTGAGGCTAGTGGAGAGGCGGTGTTCTGCGCTTTTCCCCACAAATTCTTCTGGAATCATATGGATGAGGAGAGAGGATGGGGTGATGGTTGGCTTCATTGAATCCAACTAGCCCGCCTAACTCAAAGGCAATAAAGAGAGAGCGCTCCATAGGAGGCAGCCCATGTCTTACGTCTAACTTAAAGATGTTCAACAAAAGTGCTAACGGGAGATAGCCCAAGCTTCTTAATTTTGGAAACAATAATATCTTCCTCTAATTCAAGAATCGGAAACAATTTTTTCCATGGTAATTCCACTTAATAACACCTACTTTTCTATCTTTTGATTTGGTTTTAGAGACACATATTTTTGTTTGTAATATTATTTTTTGAAGCAAATGTATCTTTTTTCTACAATCAAATTAAAAATACCATTAAGAACTTGCTTTCAAGGCAAAAGTCTCACCACCCTTGCAAACCTCAGCTTTTACAGGCATCCATAGATGAACTAAAGAAACATCTTTCTGTGAAATAAAAAAAACTCTATCAGTGTCACTAACTACCAACCAAACTCCAGGCTGCAAAAGTGATGTTGTAGTTCCAGAATCCCTACCACTCGACACCTAACTGCACTTTGCACTTCATTACTGAGCATATCTAGAGATCGAGCTCTTCTAGCACCATACAGTATGCAGCATCGCTCTCGCCATACTACACTCAAAGAGACACGGTCGATCAAGCGACAAATGCACGCACCATTCTAAACTATCCAACCAATCAAGATGGGCAGGGGGAGCTCGTTCCTTTAAGAAACCGTGTAATACAAAAGTTGTCTAAGAGCATTGAGTGAAAAAGTGATTTCGATCCTCAACGCCACCAGGGCATAACATATAGACTCCGGTGTCATCCTTCCCCCTCTGTTTTAACTTGTCCAGAAACACCTGTCGATTCAGAATAGCCATCCAAAATGTGAATCCATGTTTGGGAATAATCTCTTTACTTCATATCAAAGGGAACCCGTTAACCTTTGCATCCTTCACCCTTATCGACTCACGCCTTTTTTACTGAACCTCTCCGCATTACCACAACATCCCATTTGACCTCATTATCAGACACATGAAATAATTGGTGCACAGCGACTCTACACGTAAGCAACCTCATCCATATCCATGTTTTAGCAGCTTTTGCAGACAAGGTCCAAAGCTGTTGACTTTTGATCCTATACCTTTTGACCCATGCTACCCATATGGAGCCACCCTCTTCTAGTATCTCCCATAGATGCCTCGTAACACATGTCATATTCCATATCTTAAAATTTCTTATTTCGAGGCCACCTTCAAGTTTAGGCTTTGCCAACTTATCTCCGGCCATAACTGCTTTTTCCCTCCCCCCTACTTCATCAGTGTTCCATAAAAAGACACTTCACAATCTCTCTACCTCTTTAATAACATACTTAGACAAAAGAAACAGGTTCATCCAATACTGTAGAGTACCTGAAATCACTGTTTTTACTAATTGAATCTTCACTGCATAGTTCAGTAGGTTTGTTCTCCAACTCCTCAGACTCTTAGTGATCTTATCAATCAGAACCTGGCAGTCCCTCCTGGTTAACTTTCCTATTATCAATGGGATTCCAAGATACTTGACATGCAGAGTTCCTAGAGGGAATCCAGTGTACTCAGAGATAGACTCCATTTCCCTGCTTGGAATTCCTGCATAGAATAGTTGACTCTTTGTTGGGTTGCATTTTAGTCCCGAATGACCATAGAATTCTTCTAATAACCTTGTAATCCCTATTACCCCTCTCACTGACCCGTTTGTAATGACCATAAGATCATCAGCAAAGCAAACGTGGGTAATCTCTAATGGTTTGCATCTCATATGGTATGATATCTAGCCTTCACGTACTACTTTCTTAATCAAGCAACCAAAAAATTCCATAGCATTAGTAAACAAATAAGGGGACAAAGGGTCCCATAGCCTAATCCCCTTGTTTGCTAATATTTCCCACAAAGATCACCATTAATGGCAACACTAATTAGAGGAGTGGTAATACAAGCCCTTCCTATGAGTAAAAAACCCTCTAGAAAACCCATGGCAGTCATAATCGAAAAGAGAAACTCCCAATTGCCAGAATCAAACGCCTTCTGATAGACCATTAATTACACATGTTTTTACCCCTGTTCTTACACCGTTTGAGATGTGATTTCTCGTGTTTTAGGCCGATTTCACGCTAGGTTGTGCTTGTTTGTGATATTTCAGGTCCTAGTACGTGAATGGAGGCTTGGGAGCGAGTTTGGGGTCGATTGGACGAAGATCGGGCGCGAGGCAAGTCAAAAAGGAAGCCACACGGGCACACCCACAACTCACACGGCCGTGCCAGTGACCACTTTGGCCGTGTGAGATTGTGCGAGAGCAAACACGGCTTGCCCTGATGTTCACACGGCCGTGTGAAGGAGTGGTTTGGCCGTGCGAGTTTCGCCGAGAGCAAACACGGGCAGATGGAAATGTCACACGGCCGTGTGACCCTGGCCGTGTGAGAAGCCTGAAGATCGAACTAATTGGAACGCATCGTTTTGACTCACACGGGCAACTGGGTATGCCACACGGCCGTGTGGACCTGCCCGTGTGAGTCGTGAATTCTTGGTTTTAACCCAATTCCGGGCTGCAAGAGAGAGGATCGGACTTTTTGAGGAAAAACAGAGCCCTAGAGAGAGAAAGGACGAAGAACACATCCTAGAAGCTATCTTGGAGCTGGGTTTCATCAAATCAAGCTTGGAGATCGTCATAGGAGTGGAAATCATCATCCCAGAGCAGATTCTTCCCATAATTATGAGTATGACTGCTTTGTATCTTGTTTTCCTCTCTCTCTCTATGGAGTAGAACCCCTCTCTCACTTGGGGATGAAGAACCCTAGTTCTATGTGTTAGGGATTGATTGTAATGACTTGGGATGATATTACTGTTTGATTTTAATCGAATTATGCATGTTTATTGAGTCAATTGAAGTCTGATCAATTTTTCCTGATTCCTTCTCACTTTACTGCATTCCCGGTCTGCGATTACACTTGGTCGCAGATTGGTGTTGTGTTTTGGCGTGTCAAGTTTTTGGCGCCGTTGCCGGGGACCCTCTAGGTTATTGGGGAAACGTGAGAATTTGTTACTCTAGCCTTTTATTTACTGCATTTTATCTCTTCCACCTGTGTGCCTTCACGGGTAGCTTCTGTTGATTGTGTGCAGGTAGTGCATGACCCGTAGCCAGTCGGGAGATCTACTACCACTAGAACAGGAGCTTGAACGAACCTGCGAAAATTCAAGCGGGCTCTAAAGGCGCGACTGGCTGTGGAGGAGGCGCTAGCACAGCTACAGATCACTGAAGAAGAGGAGATGGCTGATCCACAGGGCCATGCTGTGGTCGATCCCGAGGAGTAGACCATGGGACATTACTGGACCGCCAGGGCTGCAGACATGAGGTCACCCATTCAACACCCTCATGTCCCAGCCAATAATTTTGAGGTGAGCACCTCAGTAATCACCATGCTGCGCGGTTCGGTGATGTTCCGTTGCAAAGAGGGGGAGTGCCCCCGATCACATCTCAGGCGATTCCACGAGCTCATCGATGGAATCCAGATCAACGGGGTCCCAGCAGATGCCATCCAGCTGAGGTACTTCCCATTCACCCTGGAGGGGCAGGCCAAGGAGTGGCTAGACACTCGACCTCCGGGCTCCATCACCACGTTCGCCAACCTGGCGGACAAGTTCCTCACCGGCTACCATCCTCCGTCGAAGACGGCGGACTTGCAGAAGCAGATCACCCACTTCACCTAGGATGAAGATGAGACCATCCGGGATGCTTGGGAGAGATACAACAGTCTCTTCCTGAGGTGTCCCAATCATGGTTTCAATGATGCTTTCAAGGTGGGAACCTTCTATCATGCCCTCTTCCCGGAGGACAAGCAGCTGATTGATTCGGTCTATGGCGGGAACATGCTGACCAAAACACCGCCACAGCTGAATCAACTCTTTGAGGAGATGGCGGAGATCGGGTACGATTGGGGCAGTGCCAGGAGATCGAGACGAGCACCAGGACGGGGTGTGCATGCTGTGGGCACCTAGTCATCTGATTTGGTACAGGTGGTATCGAAGCTGGTGTCAGCTATCGATCGTTCTGGTTTGATTGCAGGTACAGGACAGCCGCAGGCGATGCTCTGCCAGTGGTGCGAGAGCACCCATCACACTGTGGAAGACTGCCAAGCGATGAAGGAATCGACAACACCCTAGGAGCAGGTGAACTTCATCAACAATGTTAGGCGCAACGACCCCTACAGCAATACTTACAACGAGGGGTGGCGCCAGCATCCCAACTTCTCCTGGGGTGGGGCAAATTCCAGACCACCAGTCCCCCAGGGACCACCGGGCTTCTAGAGGCCACCATATCAGCCCAGACAGGGGCAATTCCAGCAGCAGCAGTCTCTCTACCAGCCCATGCAGGGGCATGCTGCTCCATCACAGCCGCGACCTTTCCAGCAGCCAGGTGCATCCCCTGCCGTCCCAGTGCAGAATGATCAGATGGCTGAACTGCGGGAATTGGTGGGTTCTCTCGCCAGTTCTAGTGCTCAAAAATTTAACACTATCGAGCAGTTCATGGAAAAGGCATCGGGTAAATTCCTGGCTCTTGAAGCTGGCCAGAGGAACACACAGGCTGTCTTGCAGAATATCCAGACCCAGCTGGGGAGTGTGGCTCAAGCAGTGGCCCAAAGGGCTCCTGGTACTCTACCCAGTCAGACCATCCCTCACCCTCAGAACCCGAATGAGCACTGCAATGCCATCATAACCAGAAGTGGGAAGATGACTGTTGATCCACCTGCTCGGGCACAAGAGAGAGAGGCCCCTGCCTCGGCATCTCCAGCAGCTGAAGAAGAAGTAGAGAAGGAGGTTGAGGTTCCTGCACCTAAACCGCAACCAGTAGTGAAGGAGTATATCCCTAAACTCCCCTTCCCTACTCGGTTGCACAAAGACAGGCTGGAGGCAGAGTTCGAGAACTTCATGGCCATGCTTAGGAAGCTGAATGTCCAAGTACCTTTCCTGGAGGCACTATCTCAAATGCCTAAGTATGCGAAGTTCC